ATTTTTGGGAAAGAGCTTTGGGGTTTTGTTGTTTTCGTGCCTCGCAATCCCACTTATAGTTATAAACACACAGAATCTCAACCCTTATAATTAATTATTTATTTTTAGAACTCAGTAAAAAAAAAATTACTTTTACTGTTACCTTGGCCTTTCTTGCGCAGCTTCGGTGGAGGGCGAAGAAGGCCCCCAATGAGATACCACTCTAGAAGAGCTAGAATTCTAACTTTGTGTCAGGACCTACAGGCCAAGGGACAGTCTCAGGTAAACAGTTTCTATGGGGCGTAGGCCTCCCAAAAAGTAACGGAGTCGTGCAAAGGTTTCCTCGGGCCAAACAGAGATTAACCCTCGAGTGCAAAGGCAGAAGGGAGCTTGATTGCAAGACCCACCCATTGGGCAGGGACGAAAGTCGACTTTAGTGATCCGACGGTGTAGAGTGGAAGGGCCGTCGCTCAACGGATAAAAGTTAATCTAGGGATAACAGGTTGATCTTCCCCAAGAGCTCACATCGATAGGAAGGTTTGACACCTCGATGTCGGCTCTTCTCCACCTGGGGCTGTAGTATGTTCCAAGAGTTGAAAAAATATTTATTTTTTTTTCAGGTACCAGTCGAGGTGGAGAAGTTCTAGGGAGCTACACTGTCACAGATGAGTACTCGAGGAGTGAGTTAGTTCTACTCATTTTAGGGTTGTTTTTGTATTCTTTTATACCCGTGCCCCTTTTTCCCATTTGTAAATAACTTGAACTTTTAATACTGATTTTATATATTTTTTAAAATCGGTCGAAATTTTAGGGTTGAAATGGGTCGTAGGGATATTATAGGTTTATGAAGTAGCATTGACAAATTTTCATTATTTTTACATAATTGTCCTCATATTCATGATACCTACCAAGCTATTTTTCATAATATAATATAATATAATTAATTAATTATATTAATAATTTATAATTCATTTTTTCTAGAGTGATGTATAGCCTTATTGATAAAAGACAAGTGAACTAACTTTCCTTGTTCATTTTAGCCTTCTCAATTGGGTAAAGGAACATCCCTCAAACAAATTACTCAATTTTTTATATTAAAAAATATATATATTTAATTAATTCAGTCAATCATTAGATTTAATGTTGACAATATAAACAAATAAATTCACATTTAATTTAAATTTTAAAATTATAAAATATTATAGGTTTATATTAATAATTAAAATATCTCGTATCAACCGAATATATCTAGACATATAATATTTTATAATTCACCTCTCCAACCGATGTGGTGTCTCACATTAGACCTACCTAGATTTGTTACCAATTCATAAGTCAACATGCATTTGGTAATGAATCCCGATCAGTTTAGAGTTTTAGAAAGTTTATGGAATAAAAGCGGTATAAATCGAGAAAAAATTGTTCGAAAATGGATCGATATTTGAAGATAAAAAAAATGGGGTATGATAATAGTTGGAGGTGTTTGACTCGAGATAGGTAATGTCATTGTCACTAGTCATCGTCATTGTCGAGAATTTATTTTTTTCCGGTAATTTCTTTAGTAACACAACAAATAAATTCTTTTTTCTCCGACCCCATTTGAAATTTGAAAAATGAACGAACAAAAATCAAACGAGAGGGTCCCTCCCCTATCATCCCATCTCTCTAGTTTTCTTTATTTCTTTAAATAAATAAATAAATTTTGATTTTTTTCAAACCTATAATCAACTTATTACGTAAGAATTGAATACGAATAGTAATTGCATTAATATATATCTTTTCGAGAGGAATGTGAAGAAGATGTTAAAAACGTACGTGAATAAATGAGCTAGCTAGAATTATATTTACTCGGGTACATTGTTACATTAGAATTTTTGAAGCTTTTATGCGGTCGTGATAGCGTAACATCTCGGGTCAGACTTTGTAATGCTCTCATTATTCTAACCCTAAAATATTAATACCATTTTTCTAATGGGGTCGTTCTGTAGAGCCCATTATATTTTTCAACGCTTTGGAATGTATGGTTGTAGGTCGGCACATGCCCGAGAGAATAAAAGGACACCAAAATTTTTACGAGCGATATTTTTAGCAAATAAAATAAATCATGAAATATCGATATATATATGTAGGGTAATATTTGACTGACCTTTTGCCATTGTTTGAACTCGATGATGACTGAAACCCACAAATAAATAAATAAATAAATAATATAATGTAAATCCACGTGGTAATTTTTTTTAAGGTAAGAAAAAAAAATTACTCGATGGGCCTATGATTGTACCATAATAATGATTATTTATTTTTTGAATAATTATATTTTGATGATAAATATTTTTATCTTTTACTCTTTTCAATAATGAATGGAAGATGCTTTCCAACGATCCAATCTAATCCTTTCCCATTCATTTCTCTATAATTAATGAGTACTATTTTTTTTTTAATAAAAAAAATATATTTAAATTATCGAGCATTATTTTAATTAATTAAGACATATATCATCGACCAAAAAATTATAAATTAAAATCTATTTTTTTTAACTAAAAATGCATAATAAATAATTTAACTTTAAAAATATCGAATATATCTAAATTCAACCTATTGAAACACAAAATAATTACAGAAGGATGGGAATCTTCTTAATAAAATTGTGAAATTTTAGGGACTAATGGGTAATTAACAAAAATATATTTGTAAAATATAAGGACTAATGAGTAATTTTTTTTTTTTTTTTTAAAAAAAAGAAAATATTCTTCTCTTATCAACGCCAACATAGAGATTGAAAAATCCAAAAGCTGCCACTAAAAAAAGGTTACTACTTTAGGAACAACAAGTACATTAGTGTTTGATCATCAGCTACCAAGCCAGCCAGCCAGCCAGCCGACCAGCCAGCAAGCCACAGAATTTCTTGTGTGTGTTTTTTTTTATTCTTAATTCATTGGTCGTTTAAGGATTTTATGCAGCTCGTTTTCTTATCCTTTTTTGTTGTGTTTTTTTCTCCCGTCGTCTTGCTTGGACAAGGCTGCCTTCACTCATTTTCTTGAGAAGAAAACAAACACTTCTCATGTGCCCTTTTTCTTCTCTCTTTTCGAGTTGAAAGAGGTGGGATAACGAGATTTGAATCCTTCCCGAGTTTTTAAATGGCGTTCATATTAAGTTTGGGCGAACGAAGCAAAAGGGGTTATATGGATTCTGAAACGGGTGGATGTTGATTTCAACAACAAACGTGTTTGCTAGGGAGAGATTTTCACAACTTTATAGAGAATGTTTCGTTCTCCTCTCTAATTGATATGGGATCTTACATAAGGAACTGATATGTTTTCACGAGGTCGAAACTTTAAATATCCACCTAATGAAAATGAAATGTGAAATGGGACCGGGACGGATGTTGATATGGATAACAGGATTTTGAATTCGACCCAAGTTCTTAAATGGTGTTCATATCAAGTTCGAGCCGAAGAAAACAGATTACATTGAATGTGGAACGGGTTGGGTGTCGAGTAGAATAAAGGGCTGGGAAGGCTACCCAGTCATCTCAAATGGTATTAATATAAGGATTGAGGAAGATCGAGAGAGGTGGGGGAAGGAGTATCTAAAACTAGTTATTAAGATATCTCCATTATGAGATCAACACAATCTAGAACTGTCCCAAACAAATTTCTGGGGCAACCACAATTAATTCCCATATGGTTAGGTACACTACACCTCTCTCTTTCATCCACTGCCTAATTCCCAAGTTCTCCAGCTTTTGAATGTGCATTTAATATGCTAAAACACACACAAATCAACAACCGATGTAAGAGAATGCCGATGAGGCTGAACTGAACCCAAATTCACCGCTAATAGACATTGTTTTCTTTGAGCTTTCTTTTCTGAGCTTCCCGAAGCTTCCACATTCTTGTAAGGAGTGTTTTGTTCTCCTTTCCAACCGATGTGAGATCTCACAATCCACCTCGCTACCACACCTCTCCGTGCTTGGCTCTGATACCATTAGTAACAGCTCAGCCCCACTGCTATTTCCCTTCTGGGTTTCCTCTCAAAGTTTTAAAACACGTATGCTAGGGAGAGGTTTCCACACCGTTATAAGAAATGCTTCGTTCTTCTCTCCAACCAATGTGGGCTCTCACAATCCAACCCTCTTGAGGCCAGCATCCTTGTTGACACACCGCCCGACACCTTGCTCTAATACCATTTGTAACAGCCCAAGTCCACCACTAACAGATATATTGTCTTTTTTGGACTTTCCCTTCTATCTAGGCTTCCCCCCAAGATCTTAAAACAAGTCTACTGGAGAGAAGTCTCTACACTCCTATAAGAAATACTCCGTTCTCCCTCCAACCGATATGAGATCTCACAACTAAAGAAAGGTAAAAAAACAAACCTCGCCAAATCATAAGAGCTTCACACTCCCTGGTTGTCACATGCATTGCCTCCTTTCTTTTGTCTTTCAGCTGATTCAACACAAGATTGAATAAGCAAAATACCTTAATAAATCCAAATGGGTTTGGTTTGGTTTGGTTTTGTGAGATGTTCTGTCTTTTTTGCTGTCAAACAGAGTGGAATGAATGGCCATTGATCCTCTGTAATCCAAGCCAGAGATGAATGAAAAAAATAACAAAGGAAGTAAAACTCCAATCCAACGAAGGGTTTTGTTTTGAATGCAGTAGCTTTCAAGAACGTGTCGCTGTTTCTGTCTTAAAGACAGACAGGTGACAAGCTCCATGAAACATGTCAGACATGTATGTGATGGTTACCTCTCACAAAATTGGTCTATTTCTCTTGGTCAAAAGAAATTGGGACTCCTATGGAGCTCTGTATAACCAACGTACACTCCCCATAATTTTTTTACCACCTGCAACAGTTGGATAAGTTTTTTAAACCATTACCTGCATCAGTAAGAACTGCTGTTACTCACCGTAATTCCGACCCCGACTCGCCTCCCCTCGTTCTAACTACATCGTTTAAACGATCTTTTTCTCATAAGGACAGGCCATGCTGTTTTGTTTACTTCCAAGGCCGAGAGGAAATTTAGGCTCGAGTTTCTCAGATGGGTCCATAGTTATTGATTGGGTGTCGTACTCGACCCGAGTAATTACACGTTGTATGAGAAGGTTTTGAACCATAAAAGAACGTCCTGATAAATACTGGGTTATGATAATCTCTGTAGTTTTCGAAAAGTATGCTACTAAAAACGAGGGGGAGGTGGGCGTTGGCAGGCGTTTTTCCTACATTTTTCTTCTCTTGGGGCTTAAAATGAAGTCATTGTCGTCGTCATCGCTATTGTTCGTGATCTTTTTCTTTGCTTTTAGATCGCCATTCTTCGATGGCTGCTGTGGCCTCTGTGAGCTCTCTGGTCTGCTCGGTGGTTTTAATGATTTAATCGGAGTCCCGGTCCTTTGTTCCTTTTGTCTTCTCAGTTTCTTCTCGTACGCCTTTTTCGCCTTTTCGGGAGATAACATGCCATGCTCCATCATCCTAGAAATTTAAACTGGTCAGGTCACCAATATGAACATAGCTCAACTGATTCAAATATATGTTCTTAACCAGGAGATCAAAAATATATATCCACAAAGACAAGTAATATGGGGATATTTTTCACGGAGGGAAGTCGGAGTATAAAATAAATAAAAGAACTTGATGACCCAACAGCCAAAAAGTCACACTAAGGTTCAGCCAGAGAATGAAGAATTTGTTAGGAATCACGAACCTCACGGTGGTATGATACTGATCACTTTGAGCATAAGCTCTCGTCACTTTACTTTTGGTTTCTCAAAAAAGCCTTGTACCAATGAAAATATATTTCGTACTTATTAACCCATGATCATCGCTTTAATTAGCCAATACGGGACTCCCTTCCAACAATCCTCAACGATCCTCCAATCGAACAAAGTACACCATAGAGCCTCCCCTGAGGCTTATGGATCCCTCGAATAGCTTCCCCTTAAACGAGGCTTCAAGAATCCTCCCCTCGAACAAAGTACACCATAGAGACTCCCCTGAGGCTTATGGAACCCTCGAATAGTCTCCCCTTAATCGAGGCTCGACTCCTTCTTTGGAGACCTCGAACAAACTACACTATTTGTTTAACACTTGAGTTACTTTTGATTATACTTTCGAGACTCACAACTTCTTTATTCGACACTTGAGGATTCTATTGACAGATGACTTAACCATTTCTACGTGTAGACTAAACCATCTTTGAATGACAACCTTGTTCGGGGTGGAAAAGAGAAACCCTTCCACCGAAACATCGTTCCGTGAGCTCACTATAGCCCTTACCGCCAAAGACCACCCCTTGAGGTCCATAAATAACAATATGGTTGCAACACTAAATATAACATTAACTTCCAAGAAAAAAAAAAAAAAACCTATGCTATTAGAACAACATGCCATCTACACGTCAATAAACAACACATTGCACGCCTTATAGGATCAGATGCGGGCGAAGGACAAGCGTAAGCCTACCGCTAGCTGATATTGTCCTCTTTGGGCTTTCTCTTCCAGGATTCCCCTCAAGGTTTTTAAAACGCGTCTATTAGGGAGAGGTTTCCACACCTTTATAAAGAATGTTTTGTTCTCCTCCTCAACCAATATGGGCTAGCAAGTTATCCCAACGTTCAAATCAGACACAAAAAGTTCCAGTCTTAATCCAATAGTTCATCTTGTCCAAGTTACCAAAATATCGACCAAGTCTCGAAACATGGAATAACCCAAACCAAAAGGAACTACTTAGTTGAGTCGTAAAGTTGTTCGACATAACATATCTACCCCTAAAAATCAATCGCTCGCGTATGCCTTTGGTTGCATTTAGTCCCTAAAATTCAAATCTAGCAATTTGTAACGGCCCAAGCCAACCGCTAGATATGGTCTTTTTTGGGCTTTCCCTTCCGGACTTCCCCTCAAAGTTTTAAAACGCGTCTGCTAGGAAGAGGTTTCCACACCCTTGTAAAGAATTCTTCGTTCTCCTCCCCAACCGATGTGGGATCTCATAATCCACCCCCCTTCGGGATCTAGTGTCCTCGTTGACACTAGTTCCCTTCTCTAATCGATGTGAGACCCCCCAACCCATCCCCCAAGGCCTAGAGTCCTTGCTGACACACTGCCTTGTGTCCACCCCTTTGGGGTTCAGCCTCCTCACTGACACATCGCCCGATGTCTGACTCTAATACCATTTGTAACATCCCAAACCCACCGCTAGCAGATATTGTCCTCTATGGGGTTTCCCTTCCGTGTTTTCCCTCTAGGTTTTAAAACGTGTCTGTTAGGAAGAGATTTCCACACCCTTATAAAGAATACTCCGTTCTCCTCCCCAACCTATATGGGATCTCACAAACGTCGTCCGATTTCACTAGTACCACTAGCTTTTCGTCAAACAAAACGAAACCGACTGCTACGAAAAGCACTCACAACAGCAAGATTGAGGAAGCATCAAACCAAATGCTAACACAGAGTATCATAAACCAAAGGATCACATACAAACACGACAACAATGAAGAACTCAAAGGATTAAACAGACAATGAATGCTCAAAAGAAAATCAGAAAACAAACCGCACCAAAATTCTGCCATTTCACTTGTTGATATCTGTTTCGACAAGGATTCATAAAATATCCGAAGCGGCTCTCTCTGCTCACCAACATACGAACACGACAACAATGATGAGTTCATCAATAACATAAACTAAAAACAAACAAGGAAAAAAACATTCAAACCTCTTCAGGTGGATCGTATTTCTGACCAGCCAAATTGAACACTTTCTTTTCTCTCACTTTAGCAGTAGAAGTAGTAGCTTTTGTTGTGGTCTTTGAAGAACTCGTTATTGTTTTAGATTTCACCTTCCAAGAAGAAAACAAACAACCCCACTTAGAATCTAAACCTAATTGCCCAATCGGAGTAATCCAAATTTCAATTGCCCCAAATCCGCTACGGTTACCAATCGACAAATTAGATGCGTTACAAAACATTAATCCAACCAGACAAACACAAAATCCCCAATTCGCGGAAGCTAAATCTGAATCAGACAATAATAAACCTTAAATTTTGCTAAATGGGTACCTCGGATTTGGGAAGAACAGAGACGGATTTGTGTTTGGAAGAGGAAACTGAGCTGTTGTTCTTCTTGTTGTCGGAGGATTCGAGCTTTAACCTGGAGCCGCCATCTTGATGACCTAGTTTGACCTTCGAAACAGTGGGTTTGGGGTCTGAAACCATAATGGGCTTCTGTTTTTGCTTAATAATTTTGACTATTTTTGTCAAAAGAATCAATGTTGTTCTTCCTCTCGTCTTCTTCGTTCTTCTTCTTACTGTCCTTTTCTTCTTCTTCCTGCTGAAGATATATCCATTCGAGCTGCTTCAGAATAAGATAATAAAAATAAATGTGAACAAGAAGTATCAAAATTCCGCCAATTAAATTGGTTGTTTTTCGTTTTAACCTGCAATTTCAGGGTAATTTTAACAGGTGAAGAGCAAAAAACACTTTTTTTTTTTTTTTTTTTTTTTTTTTTTTNTTTTTTTTTTCTTTCTAGGGTCCGGTTAGAGGGCGTGAAAAGACGGTTTTGTCCTCGAGGCAAATAAACGCTTATGACTCACGTTCCGTTACGGCGTCAACGAATTCCTCTTTTCTTTTTTTTTTCTTTTTCTGTGCAGAATACGAGAAAGGTTGTCGGAAGGAAAAGCGGAATAACTGCCGTCGCTAACTTTCACGTTGTCCCACATGGCACAGTATAAATGTTAATCTTTTTGTTTTTACCATTTTTTTAACGCAATATATATATATATATATATATATATATATAATGATATATATTGGGCTGGGTTCAGGTGAATATTTTGGGCTTTCGGCCCAAACGTTGCCTATTGTGGGCCGATTGGGCTGACAGCTGCGTCCCTTGCTCACCTTGGGCTGGGTTCGGGAGAATATTTTGGGCTTTTGAGCTCAAATGTTGCCTTTTGTGGGCCAATTGGGCTGACAGTGCGTCCCTCGGCTACCTTGGGCTGGGTTCGGGTGAATATTTTGGGCTTTTAGCCCAAATGTTGCCTATTGTGGGCCTATTGGGCTGACAGCTGGTCCCTTGCCCACCTTGGGCTGGGTCGGGTGAATGTTTTGGGCTTTTTGGCCCAAATGTTGCCTATTGTGGGCCAAGTGGGCTGACGCTGCGACCCTTGCCCACCTTGGGCTGGGTTCGGGTGAATATTTTGGGCTTTTTCGCCCAAATGTTGCCTTTCGTGGGCCGATTGGGCTGACAGCTGCGTCCCTTGCCCACCTTGGGCTGGGTTCGCGTGAATGTTTGGGCTTTTTAACCCAAATGTTGACTATTGTGGGCCTATTGGGCTGACAGGTGCTTCCCTTTCCCATTTTGGGCTGGGTTCGGGTGAATATTGTGGGCTTCTAAACCAAAATGTTGCCTATTGTGGGCCAATTGGGCTGACAGCTGCGTCCCCGGGCCACCTTGGGCTGGGTTCGGGTCAATTTTTTGGGCTTTTTAACCCGAATGTTGCCTATTGTGGGCCAATTGGGTTGACTGCTTCGTCCCTGGGCCACCTTCGGCTTGGTTCGATGAATGTTTTGGGCTTTTTTGCCCAAATGTTTCCTATTATAGGCCAATTGGGCTTTGGATGATGTTCGATATTTAATCTCGGATTTCGTATTTTTAATTTCTTCTATAATATTAAAGTGTGTGTATTTTCAATAACTCTTAAAAATAGTCTAATTACTGATTGTAATTAGTTTTTAACCAAATCGTTTAATTATTAATAATTATTTTGATGCAGTAAAAACATCCTTTTAAAACATTTTGATAAAGGAAAAATGAAAAGAGACTATATATATATATATATATATATATATATTGCAATAATTAAATTAATTAATATTGTAGGGACTAATTTTAACGTACTATTTTANTTTTTTTTTTTTTTTTTTTTTTTTTTTTTTTTTTTTTTTTTTTTGTGTGTGTGTGGTTAATTTAGCCTTTTTTTTTGCCGGTAAACTGGGAATTAGAAGAAAAAGACACTTTTGCCCTAGTCTCGTCTTCTCCTTCAGTCTCTCTCAGTCCTTCTCCCAGTATTCATAGGCCCGGCGGCGCCACCTCTCTGCCTCCTCTACTTCGCCATCTCTCTCTCTGATACTCGCTCACTCCATTCTCTTGACCAGTTATTCTTTTCCTTTCTAATCGTTTTAAATCACCGGAGAAAGACCATGGAGATAGACAGAGATGATGGCCGTACCGCCAACCAGTTGAGACCACTTGCTTGTTCTTGCAATGTTCTTAATCGTGCTCATGGCTCCGCCAGTTGGTCTCAAGGTCTCTCCGTCTTCAACCATCTCTTCTTAGTTCTTGTTTCATTAGTTTGTGAGTTCGTTCGATTTCGGGAACTTTTCGTATGAGTGGTTTGTTTAATCTGGATTTTACAGGCGACACGAAAATTCTCGCTGCAGTCTATGGACCTAAAGCAGGAACAAAGAAGAATGAAAATCCTGAAAAGGCTTCAATTGAGGTTATATGGAAACCGAAAACAGGGCAAATTGGTACGTTTCTTTATTTTCTTATTCACTTTGTTTTATCCATCTCTAAATCGTATGATAAAGTTCTTATTCCATGAATATTTGTAGTTCAGTAAATTTCTTACGTGTTATTGCCATTCAAAGTACGGCTTTCAATGAACATACTGTCTAGTTTTTGTACCTTATTGATTCTGAAGCAGGCTATGGATGATATTCTCTGAATCTCATCAATGCATCCTCTTACATTTGATAATGTATTAGGAAAACTGGAAAGGGAGTGTGAGATGATATTGAAGAGGACATTGCAGAGTATTTGCATATTAACTATAAATCCCAATACCACGACATCTATTGTAGTTCAGGTGAGTCCATTTTCCCCCCTTTTTGGTTCAAGATTCATGTGATATATTGCTGGTCTTTTGATGTTTAAAAAGTAATATACATGAAATAGGTATCTCAAAATCTTGTTGAAGGTAACCAATCTCTGAACCAGCATAAAAGATGCACAATCTTAAAGTTTAAAATTTAACATTACGTTCTATACATTCATATATGGAAAGTAATGTTATTACTCATGCTTGGGACTTAGCAAATTCCCTTCATTCCAATCTTCCTTTAGTCTGAACGAACACGTTTATTAAGATTTTTTGCTTGACTACTCCGAACATGGATATTTACATAGCCAGCGCATGTTACATCATTTTATTTTGTATCTGAAACTTCTAAATAGTATGTATAAGAAATAAGTAGCTGGAACATGCTATTATGTTACTGAAACTTCTGTTGCTGGAAAAGTGTAAATATTCTAAAACCGTCAAGAACAACCTCGATGCGAAATTGTTCGTTGTAGGAAATTAACACCTTTTCATTTTCCATATCATGAAAAATGTTTTGGACTGTCAGCTTTGAAATACATTATGTTTAGGGCATTTATACTAATAATGTTGCAACTAGTTTCTTATCTCAAATACATTGATATTTCCCCCTGTAATTGCAGGTTATTCATGATGATGGAGCTGTATCCCTTGTGATTTAATACCTCGTTTTTAGATTACTAAAAATAATGTTAGGAAAATATAAGTATGTTAAGACACGTAATTCATGTCATCGTGATCCTATTCAAACTGATTTACTAACGCTATCCTTGAAAGTCGAACATGGGTCGAAGTTCTCACAGCTACATTATAGGTGCTCTAACCAATTATGCTATATGAGAGCTGATTCACGTTAATCTTACCACGGGGAACTACTGTTTTGTCGAGGAAAAGGGAAGAACTAGGGCCTACATATCAACATGGACAGTTCTTTTATCTGGTTATTGGGTCAAAAATCTAGATATTCTGTGATCCCCTGCCTAGGGACACGGTGGAAGAGCTCCCCTAATATATCACATTGATTTTTCTTTTAAATTTGAAGTGGCATTTGTTTAAAATGTTCCAATGTCATGCCACTGTAAAAAAAATGTTTTTTTTTACCTTGTATAGGTTTGATATTCTGTCAACTTATGTACCACACATGAGAATTATTTTTTCTTTATTTGTGGGAATGCCTTTCTTGAAATATCTTCATGAAGAACTTCTTTGACAGAGCCCTCAAATAGCTTCTTCCTTGTGCAATTAATGCATCATGTGCTGCCTTAGTAGATGCTGGAATTCCCTTAAAGCATCTTGCTGGTAATCAGAATTTATGGTCTTATTATTCATGGCTTCACTTGATAAATTAATGGTTGGCACTGACTTCTCTGCACTGCATATTGCAGTTGCAATTTCTTGTTGTTTGTCTGAGAGTGGATATGTTATTTTGGATCCAACCAAGCTAGAGGAGCAGGTTGGTAAATTTACTTATTGAATTGTCAATGCTTGTCCAATTTTGCAGTTACTTTTTGTATGCATGATAAAAAGCATAGATATGGACCATATGCAAATTTGCCATGCTAGGGGTTGGCTAAGTAGTTACACATTATTGAATTTATCAAAGAAAATGAGAAAAAGTGAAAATTGTCGAACTTGATTATCAAACGAGTGATTTTTAAAGAAAAGTGAACTCGAAATGCAGAAAATGAAGGCATCAGTACATTTGGTCTTTCCGAACTCACCTGTCTCAGTAATTCCTGAAGGATCTACCCAAGTTGCAGGCGAACCTCTGGAGAATGGAATAATAACATCTTTAACTCAGGGTGCAATGTCAGGTATGTTGTGCACGAAACCAAGCTATGTTCCAGTAGTCGTAATTGAAGATGTGCATGTTTGTATTATGTTTGAATTTTAGGACGTCAATGAGGATTTTTGGGAGAGGAGTCCCACGTTAGCTAATTAAAGAGTTGATCATGGGTTTATAAGTAAGAAAATACATCTTCATTGGTTTGAGGCCTTTTGGAGAAACTAAAAGTAAAGTCACGAGAGCTTAAGTTCAAAGTGGACAATGTCATACCACTGTGGTGAGTCGTTGTTCTTAACACCAATAAGCTCATACTTGAGTATTCACTTCTATATTGTGTTAATGATCACGTATTTTTACACCAAGAGCTGAACTCATCTTTATCCGTGGCACTGATACATTTTGAACACGTATCTGGCTCACCCCTTTTGTAACCCACAGCAAATTTCTTGTTTCTTTTGCTTTTTTTTTCATTCACGATCTTCATTTTCTTGACACCATGGCACACTTCGATGGACAAAATAAACCATTTATTAGCAATGGATACGGCATATTTCTCTCATCATGTCATGTACTTTCTATCTAATGCCGTTTTGTGATCGAAAATGTACTTGGATCTTATTATAGCATCAAATGTCAAAACGGCTACAGTTAGTCATCTCTTGGGTTACCAATGGAATCTGAAAAATGTGAATGTTAGATAGAAAAACAAGCATGGGATCTAATTATTGTTGTTGTTTATCTGAAGTGGATGATTATATTCACTGTCTGGAACGAGGGCGTGCTGCAACAGCAAAAATGTCAGCTTTTTTGAGGAGAAGCTTGCAGCCTCAACTCCCAACGGATTCCTCAAAAGTCGGGTGATTGGATCCAAGTCCTTGCCTATGAATTGTGCTCCACGACATAATCTGGCTTGGGAAGGTATCGTCTGTTGTATGATTTATTTTTATGTAATCTCAAATCCATACTAATTGGGTCTTTCAGAGCTGTAAACCGGGCATTAATTTAAATGATGATAAAGAGTTCTCAGTGGATTTGATTGATGCATTGTACGTTTACTCTTTTTTTGTTGTGCATTTGTTTGATATTCTAGCTTTAAAATGATGATGTCTTCAAAGTGGTCATTCAAAAGAGACAAATTTCCAGTGGAAAGAGACTCCCTGGATGGAGAGAAGGGAGAACAGTGTGATTGATTTAAGAATGTTTGTAGTAGCACCTTTCCCTCTTTCCCTCTCTCCCTCTTTGGAGGAGTGGTGCTCGTGTTACGAACTATTAACCTCCAAAATGGTATGATATTGAGTATAAGCTTTCATGACTTTGCTTTTGGTTTCCCCAAAATGTCTCGTACTAATGTATTTCTTATGACCATCCCCTTAATTAGTCAAAGTAGGACTCTTGCCCAATAATCTTCCATTGGAATAAAGTATATCATAGAGATTATGGACCTCCGCAGTGGTATGACATTGTCCATTTTGAGCATAACCTCTCATGACTTCGTTTTTTGTTTTCCCAAATGGACTCATACCAATGAAGATGTATTCCTTCTTATAAATTTTTTATCATCCCCTTAATTCGTTAATGTGGGACTTTCGCTCAAGAATCCTCCCTTCGAACAAAGTATACCATAGAGACCATGGACCTCCACAATGGTATAATATTGTCCACTTTGAGTATAAGCTCTCATGGCTTTTCTTTTGATTTTTCTAAAAGGTCTCGTACCAATGGAGTTGTATTTCTTACTTATAAACCCATGACCATCCTCTTAGTCGATATGGGGCTCCCGCACAACGATCCTCAACAGGCTTAAGGCGAAAGATTGATTTTGGAATCTTTGTAGGAGCTCCCTCATTAGATGATAGATAGAAAAGACTCGAAATTGATTGAGGAATCTCCGTGGGGGCCACCTATTTACAATAATAGAAGAGAGCCTTAACATCTAAACTTGTTGGATGTCGTTCTTTTTATTAGATCTCGACGAAACTTTCCTTATGAGCAGGACGCGGTTAATGCCTCCCAACCATAGGATAGAATCGAGATTTAACCAGGTAGCAAGCTCAAACCAGAAAAATTTAGTAGCCATTAGATACATCTTATAGACCTTTACCTCACCCATAAACTAGATAGCATAAATAGTTTCATAAATTAAGAAAACGTGACACTTAACAACCCACCCTCTTCACCCCATTACATCCATTACATTCAAGTGCTTCCTCCATTCATTAACACCAAACTGCGTCAGCCAGAGAATAGGAGACTTCAATACTCAGCCTCTGCCCTAGGCAGAGGCACATGAGACCTCTCAATGAAGAAATTTTCATAGATGAACCCTGCAAGTCCACCACCAATAAGGGGTCCAACCCAGTAAACCCAGTGGTCAGTCCAGTCTCCAGCCACCAAAGCTGGGCCAAATGATCTTGCTGGGTTCATTGAAGCTCCAGAAAAGGCCCCACCAGCCAAGATGTTAGCCCCCACCACGAACCCAGTCAACATTGGACCCAACCCATCAAGAGCTCCCTTCTTTGGATCAACCATTGTTGCGTACACAGTGAACAGCAAGGAGAAGGTGAGAATAATCTCCCATATCACTCCCTGAAGATAGCCAACTCCACTTGCTAATGTGTGAACTGGAATAGCCTGCAAACAGAAGAACATTCAAACATAATATGAGATCTTGTTATTGTGTTCATAGCTGAAGGAGGAAGACGATGAGACTCACGGAGCCTCCGGTGAGGTACGATAAGAGAAAACTAGCCGCAGACGCTGCTAGCAACTGAATGATCCAATATAAAGCGGATCGGACAACTGTGATATGACCACCAAAAAGGAGACCGAGTGTGACGGCGGGGTTTAGGTGACCACCGGAAATGTGTCCGGCGGAGATCATCACAGCCACGACCAGTGCATGTGCGACAGCGACAGAGAACAATCCCACGAGTGCATTTCCTAGTAGTGTATCTAATTCGCACAGAAAATTCTCAATCTTAGTATAATTCAAATGTACGAAGAACGAGGAAAACTAGAGAACTTACTAGCAGTTATGGCTGATCCGACACCAACAAAGACGAAGAGGAAGGTGGTGATGAACTCGACAACGAGGGCTCGGATGCAGTCGGGCTGAGTCGCCTCGCCAACGCATCCCAATGCAATTTTGGCCATTGATATGCCGGCAAGCTCAAAGACTGAACTAGATAGAAGAGGCTTAGAATGGTTGATTGGTTGGCATTTTTGAATAAAAGACGTGCGATTTTATAACCATCTCATCGTACAGTGTTGGGCAAATGGCATATTATTATTGCACCTATTGAAATTACATTTGTGCCCGTTGACTTGAAGATTATTTACGGGTTTTGCCATCCAATTATTTGAGTAAAATAAAGGGTTAAAGCAACCGGCCTTAAATTTTTAGGCTACTGCATAATATTATAATATTAAATGGCTTAATAGTCAAATTACAAAATATCAACATTTTAAGAATAAAAATCACTAAATTTTTTAATAATGCTCATTTAAAAAATGAAAAAAATATATATATATATATATATATATATATATATATATATATTTATTATTATTATTATTATTATTATTATTTAATTGTTTATAATATTAATTTTGGTATTTTCAAAATTTGTACTAATATTCATCCCTTATGCTTATAGGTTCCAAGCCTATGATTGGTAGGATCCCATGTGACAATGTCCAATGGGATTTTAAAAAGTGGAGATGACCTGTTTTCCAAGTCATATCTTAGGGATATTCTTAAAAATAAATAAATTAATTAATAAATAACACTTAACATGGGATGTGAGGTTAAAAAATATGAATAAAACCAATTAGTTTCAATATAATTTGAATATTTGAATATTATTTTGATGTGTATTTTAAAATTTGCATTATATATATATATATATATATTGGATGGTGGGTGTTAATTGAAGGGAAAAAGAAACATCAATATTGCAATAAGTATGTCTCAAGCAATAATGAAAATTAGAGTCCACTCTTGTTCTTCACTTTCTTGCTTTTTATCTACTTTTTTTTTCTAGCTCTCTCGAGGGTACACTCATTTCTCTTCTTGCGGTTGACATTCCATTTGCCTTAATCGTAAGTGCTCATTCGATTTTAATTTGGATGGGTTTAATCTGCTGAGATGAGGTACAGATGGCCGACCCTTTGGGCATCCAGGTGATACAAATAAAGAAAATACGAATTCCAACCACATCCTCTATCAAAACAAGTCAATCTGAGAGCATGTGGAATCCCGTGTAAATCAATAATAACCACCTTGCAAGACTAAATACTCTTGGGCGACCGATAGTGTGGTTCCGTTAGAAAAAAGTGAAAGAACTATCATCGGATAGTGAAATAAAACATGAAATTGTAGACCGTGTGTGACTTATCGACAGTGACTTGGTAAGAGAATCCACTAAAATCACAGTGAAAGCAAATGTTCATGGAGTAATTGTCACTGTTTACCAGAGTAATGGTCACTATTTACCGACCTGAACTTATACATATACATACACACACATTATTAAAGCGTTAGGTACAAAAACAAATGTCTTTGAATTAAAAATAAGTAGTAAAAAATTTAAAGAGGCAAAGCGCTCTCTTCGAGGCCCAAATCACATAGGATGTTATGGGCCGCTTTGCACAGGCCCATAGACGTAGCCCAACTCAAAGTAGAGAGGCTCAAAAAGCCCAAATAATTTAAAGAGGCAAAGCGTTCTCTTCGAGGCCCAAAACAGAATAAACAAAAACTAAAATTCCTTAAACCAAATTAGATTTAAATTAACCAAATTAATCCCCCTCTAATCCTCATTAATTTCCCAACGATTATACCTCTTACAACACCAAACAAAGTAGAATAAAATAAAAAATAATAATAATCATAATGAGCTTTATTAATATTACTTGAAACCCAGCTTTCTCCGCCGCCACCTCCCGGCAACGTATCCGCCGCCGTCATTACAAACCTCGCCGCGTGTTCTGCCGGCCTCGAATTCTCCTCCTAAACGATTTTATAATTATTTTGCAAGCTAATTATAATAACAACCATTCAAGGTCCACGAGAGTTGATGTTTATATATACTTTCCAATTAAAAACTATTTTTCACATGTTTTTAACTAAAAATGAGCTGAACCCGAACATAGAAAAGTAGCTCTACCCTGCAAATTGTTCGTGAAAACTTTAGAAGTTCGAGGACTAAACTATAGGCTACGAAGGTTGCCCGAACCAGCACGACCTTGATGGTTCGTTTCATTCCTTCCACAGCACAACGTGCAGTAATTGTTGTAATTGTCGTCTACAAGCCAGGAGGTTTGAAGAGTGGAAGCAAGTTAAAAGCTTGTTCCACATCAATAGGTGTTGTAAGAGCACGCTTGAGGATCTCTGGGGTGGTAGTTTCTCCCTTCCAGGTGTTGAACCAAGGCCCTCCTCCAACTTCCAATGCCGCCATGTTACTTGTGACATCCAATACAATCTGCAAATCAAGAATTGTACTGATATAACTATTAAAAATGAAGAGCAGGTTAACCTGAACAATTGTCGTATACCACTAAGAGTTCGGGAAATATTCTGCAGAGAATAATCTATGCCAATACTAACACGATATTTTAATCACTATCGGGATTTATAACTAGTATGAAGACCTCTTAAGGAATGATCAGATCATAGGGTGGTAATGTCACTGACTACATTTTATGCTTGTATACATGCATGCCTATATGGAGACATTTATGATAACGTTATTAAAAAAAATGCTCGACCCTTAAGTTTGTATCTAATATTTAAAAGATGCCTAACAGGTCCTTTAACTTTACATCTAATGAATCTTTAAAACTTAAAAAGGTTCTTTAACTTTACATCTAATGAATCTTTAAAACTTAAAAAGGTTCTTTAACTTTACATCTAATGAATCTTTAAAACTTAAAAATGGTACCGTAGATCCTTAAACTTTGAATTTTGTATCTAATAGATCCCTAAATTTTCAATTTTTTTGAACCTATTTCAACATTCAACATTCAATAATCTATAATCTATAATC